ACCAGGCAGGCAACCAGGGATTAACGAAAAGATGCTGATGGTTACATTATGGAATCCAACATTTTTGGAGCTTGACGGACTAGAAGTAAGGATATCTTGGATATATTTTGTTATAAGGAATGTATCAGTGTATCTGTATGTATTTATACTTATTTGATCTTTTTGCTCTAGTATGCTCTGGTATTCAAATATATAGTTTAGTTGATGCACAGGCAAATGCAGTTAGTCTAGCTTGCATTAAAGAGTTGATTTCCAAAAGTCACTCAGTCTGCTTCAGGTCAAAATCAAACAAAATACTCCAATTTTTCTAAACTTTATCAGAATTTTCATTAGAATATTATTAATGTTCTAAATTTGAAATATAATTAAAAATTCCTTAACATTTCTCAAAATGCTGCAGGGCTAATGTTCAGGTCAGTGGGTCTCCTCTGTTATTTCAGAGAGCCAGAAAAATCAGAGCTTCTGCAAATTTGAATAAAGGGACATTTTTACTTGCTTTATAGCTTTCATTATTGGATGTACAGCATGTGCGTCATGTTGCCACACACTGCTCCTATAAACTAACTCCTGGACTAAACTAACTATACTTTCAGTATTCTGATTATGGGATGAACTGCAAAGCATGCAAAACATTTTCATGTACTAGTGTTCACAGCACTTGAAAAACTCCTATTTGGAGTTGATATATTACAGAATGAATTTGTTCTTATTTAGTACCAGAGAATATGAAAGATCCTGTAGCTGTTGTTTCAGTTATTTTTGGTTAATTTGGAGGAGCTCTACTTTTAAGGGAATAACTGATAATAATAATAGGCTACAATATGTTACTGAATAATTTAAGGTCATACATCGCTGGTGAAAACTGTGATTTTGGTTGCATCCATCAAATGAATCAATATACAGAATATTTATCTATAAAAAATAATGAACAATTGCTGGTTCCAACTTCTCAATGTGACCATATGCTGCATTTCTGTTTTATACTATATTGTAAAAGGAACACATTTGAGGTTTGGTGACTGTTGGTCAGACAAAATAAGCCATTTGAAGATATAACTTTTGACTCTGGGCATGTGATGAGTTCTCTTCTTTTTTTTTTTATTTACTAAGCAAGAAATTACTTAAATTGACAATATAACAAAAATTGTACAAACTAAAATGTCAAATTTAAAATTGTATTTATACTGCATCTTTAATTTATTTATAGTTGGGCTAACATTTGTCAGTTTTTAAAAACATGTGGTTAAATTACACATTTAATCGTGGAGTCAGTATCTAAAAAAATCTTTCAAGGTTTTGCTAAATCTCCTTAAATATGCCTCCCAAAAAAGATAAGATAGGGTTGTCAGATTTTATGTTATAATTGATGATATTTTGAGAGCATCAAAAAAAATCCTACACAAATGAATTAGTATTAATTAATTAATGTATTTGGTAATCAGAATTTGAGCGTATTAGATTACAGAATTATTGGAATAAACTGTTTCTTTTTGTTGTGTACATATGGTCCGTCACCTTATTTTGAGAAGGAGGCTTTTAGTGGAAGCACTGAAGTGTCCCTGTACCACCTCACCCTGCTGTCAGAGCAGAGTACGGCTTTAGAGCTAGTTCATGCAGCCAAAGGAACATGATGAAGTCAATGTGTTATTGGGAAATGTCCTATCTGGACAGCACGGGGGAATCATCTGCTGACTCAGTCCCTGACATATTAGTTAGGTGCACTCTGTCACTTGAGTGCAGGTTTAAGGACAAGTGTGACAGACCATACAGATCATGAAATGTTGGGATTAAGTCCTACTGCATCACATCTTGCTAAACTATAATTTGTCCACGTTTGGACATATTTTATGTGTATACATAAAAGCAGAATGTCTTCCGTCCCACCTTCTCTACCTGTCTTTATGAATAGCTGAAACATACTACTGAGCTTTTCTGGACAGTAAAATATGATGAAATTGTTAGCATTCAACAACTCCAGCTCCCATGCAGAGCCAGATCAACATGGGGCACCAGGGCACAAATGAGCAGTGGGTTGCAATTGGCTCCTAATCCACAGGAGACACACGTTAGATTAGTTTTATTTCGTTATTTTATTATTTTTTCATAGGCCCAGAAACCAACCAGTTCTTCTGTTGTGGGTTACAAGCCCTTCTCTCTCTTTTTTGTGTCAGTTGTGTGATAATTTGATTAAATATAAATATGTCAAGAAATATGCACCATATGAACATAATATCACCCGAAACAATAAATATATTGAAATGTGGTTTAGAATTTTTAAAACAGGACCCCTCTGCATATTCACAAACAAATTTGTCAATCAATCAAATTACAGTAAACTAATTAAATCCTTACTGTCTGGGGCTCCACGGCAGTTGGTAATCAAGATTTTGTTGATAGTGGGTATACGGTTGGGATGGGAGCTGTAGTTGTATATACCTGAAATAATCAGTGTGTGTGTTATTTGTTGTTTTGGACATAGTTTAGTCAGATTTCATCCGGACTGTTTTAGTCTCATATTGCGACACAGGGTTTTAGAGATGACTTTTGAGATACTCTTTGTTGCCTCCAATCAGCATCCATTCACTTCCACTTCACATCCTAAAGCTGATGATACACGGGGCAACTTTTTGAGCAATGATGCTGGGCAGTGTTGCTAGTGGCAAGTCCGAACGGATTGCGGTGGTGCGGGGCAGATGGCGGAATGGTGGGGGAAGGGGATTACGGTAGTAATCTTTACTCATTATCATTGACGGCAACGTTGCCCAGCATCATTGCTCTAAAAGTTGCTCTGCTATACAGTATCAGCCTTTAGCTACACAGGCAAGACTTGAAAGATTGATTCATTGTGGATTTTAAACATTTTGAATATCACCAGCCTTACCACTAAGTATCTACTGTATGATTTTATCAAGGCCAAATTGACCAATGAGCCACAAAAACTTTGTGTTCCTTCAATTATTATTTTAATATTTGACTGATTTACATATGACAACTACATATTCATTGAACACTTTACACATTAAAGTTTAAGAATAAGTTATTTCCACTGTGGTCTTCATATGGTCCAATAAACTTCAACTCTCGACTATAATCTCTTTATTGAGGACATGTTCTGACTCCATCAGGCTCACAGTTACAGTTCTGCCACCAAAAACATAATCATACAAAATACCCTCACTCTCATCTATTGTGTTAAAACAAGCAAGGAGATTTGTTGTTTTTGGAAACATCTGTAACCAACACCAATACAATCTGTGTACAATTTGTTGGTGTTCTATATTCTTAACACTTGTTCTGTTTGAGGTTCTGTTGTTGTTGTTGTTACCTCTATTACAGATATTAGACTATCAATTAGATACAGACTATGTTTAGTGAAGTGAAGGCTGGGTATGTGGCACTTCAGCTGGAAAGAAAGCTGTGAAAATGACAGGAATTTCACTAAGAAACTTTTGTGAAATGGATAAGCGAGGAGCTAAAAAGAGAACCAGAGTAATTCTGTTCAGCAGGGGGAGTGAGGAAATGAAGCAGTTTGCAACTTTCAGCCACCAAAGGCAAAATAGCAACGTGTGTGTGGGTGCATGATTTTGTGCTTGTAAGAGAGAGAGAGAGAGCGCTGACACATAATGAGGTGCAAAAAAAAGCCTACACTCTGCATTGTTCTGAGAACAAAATAATAACAGCAGTGACTAGAAGCAGGAAAATCCAATTACAATAGCTATTACTCCCTCTACTGGTGAACAGCCAAGAGGGACAATGGAAGTGATTTGCCCATATTTCACCCAAAGCTAAGTAGCTTCACCCTTTGCCCTTTTCAGAAGAGGTGTTTGCCAGCATATGAGTTTTGGGGCTCAGTAGTAGATGCTGGTTATCCTAAGAACTGGGTGCTTGTGAAAGCTTATGTACAAGAGGATGAGTGCATTTCGACTGTACATAGGCCTCTATTGAAAGCATAAATATAAACACACTAAAGTTTGCCATCTTGTTTAGATGCACCTGGTTTAACCAGCTGACAAAAGCATACTCTTTTGTATTCAAGAAATCTGTGTAAGAGGGTAATTTATAATCCTGCACAATAATGTCAGTCAGTGGTTATTATTGGATTCAATTATTAAAATAAAAAATGTGGCAACTGTGTAAAATCACTTAAAATGGCAGTGAACTTAAGGTTTTCTGAGCTCAGGAGGATCGGTCTTTTCATTACCTGCAAATCTCAAATTTTAGATACATTTGAGCAAAAAATAGGCACCAAATGAGGTCTTGAAAATCGAATTTAGTGGCACATTTTTGATGGAGCTTTCCATCTTGCATTCCCTTGCTTTTTTAAAACTCTCCAAACTGGGCATCTATAGGCTATTGATTATATGAGGGGCTGCTCAGTTTAACTGTAGGCCTACTGTGTTAGTCCTGTAAATGGCTTAACAAAGAGGCCTGTTCTAATCCATGTGCATCATGGCACCATCTGATATTTGACCCCTGTGACACTACCTGCTGCCCAAAATCGCACCAGCTCATCTCACCTGGCATTCATCTCCATAAAAAACAATCACGTCTTTCTATGCATATGCATTATGCAAATAGTGTCATCAAGTCCATGTCCCCGGTGGTAAAGCAGAGGAGAAAGCAGACTGGGTTGTGGGTGTGGAGAAGTATTTTTATGTAAGGATGTAGAGCCATGCACATACATAGACCTACTTCGTTAAGCGTACTGCACAATAGGCTATTAATAAGGTACAGTCATGGGAAACCAGACACAGCGATCTTTTATAGGCTAATTAATTCTTCCTTATAAAGTATAGCCTAATTGATTTTTGGTTGCTGATTGGATCGTGACTTGGAACGCTGTCCTCACAATGTAACCTAATTCTTATTTTTAGGGGTTAATCGCCCGCTCTGATCAGACTTTAAGTTTGTGGTTTATTCAACTTTTTATTCACCTATTGAATTTTTCCGATCGTAGTGGCCTAACAAGACACCTGCAAGAAGTAAAAGGTTGATCTCACCTGGTGAAAATATCTCCCACGAAGAGCAGGGCGAGAGTCGACAGCAGGAAAGTTTGGATTTCCATTCCACACGCTTTATGATAAATGATTAAGAGAAAAAGAAGTTTCCCGGAATGGATATCGACGACAAAGCCGGAGTTTTATTTTAGTGCGCTCTCCTCGTGATCCGGCGCCTCCGAGAAGAAAGTAAAGTGTGGTGCTGATGCTGCCGAAGATGCTGAAGAAGATGTTGATGAAGACCCCATGATCAGCTCCCAAATTCGTCCGCGTCCAGGAGCCCGCAAGAAGAGAGCACACCGAGGGAAAGGAAAAGTCCGACCGCAACAACGAGCCGATCCAACGCTGCCGCCTGTCCTCCAGCGAGAGAGAGAGAGAGAGAGAGAGAGAGAGAGAGTGAGAGAGAGAGTGAGAGAGAGAGGGGGGGGGGGGATGAGGAGAGTGAAAGAGAGAGAGAGAGAGTCACTAATCTGTCGATCCCTCCATTGCTTGGCCTCTAAACGTCAGATTCAATCTGGCCACGGAAGGCGGGGGTGGGGGGCGGCAGGAAGGCATGTCACGAACATAGGACTTCAGTAGGATATATTATGTAATGTTTGACACGTGTGAATCATCTCCATTAGGTAATTATTGAGTCAAAAAAAGTTGTGGTTTAACCTAAAAATAAAAAAGGACAAACACCAGAGGCTATTATGAGGGGCCCGAAGAGGGTTTATGGGCACCCAGAAGTCCATAAGGTTCATCTAAAAGAGGAGCATGCTTGTAGGGTAGTTCTGAGGTTTCTCTGTGAGCTCAACACATCCAGATTGATCCCATTCCAGACTGTTATGTAAGTCTGTTCTCATGCACATGTAGATCAGAAGGATTCTCATATCACGGTCCTGTAGCATAGAGGTTATCATACATTTTCGTGTCAGGGGTGAAGACCACAATTTGAGGAGGTTTAATCTCTAGAAACTACGTGAAGATTAAATAGATCACTACTGACACAAAAGTGATATTCAAGAAAATATTCTATGGACTCTGGCGGCCTAAGGGGTTTAGGTGCCCAACATAAACTGCTCTGTCGTTCAAAATCTCTCGCTCCCCTCCTTTCCTGACATCTCTCTTCTTCCAACCATTGAATAAAGGCATAAAAATGCCAGCATACACCAATGGAACATAAACCATTATGCAGAAAATCTGTAATGAACACCACAGACACAATAAACTCATGTAGGCTATTACAGGCATATTAAAAATTGGCAATTTACAGCAGGCCTAAAAAAGAACTATAGATACCACACCAAATCAATATTATATAGACCATTAAAGTTCAGCCTTGCACTTTCACTTGCACAAGTGTGGGGAGAAACACATTTGAAAAAGAATAATCAGAATTGATGCACTAATCCCCACACTGACAAATACCTATAGTGATAATTTAGGGGATACATTGAGTAGAAGCCATAACTAAATTAAAGAGTATGTGAGGTAATCATATGCAAACAACTAAATGCCAATTACTCAGCCGTGGATGGATATGCGCCTTTTTCAACTTGCTAATACGTCAGTGTTGTCATCTGTATTTATGTTAAGATTTTCATCATATTCTCCCTTGATGTATCAAATCTAAATTATGCACCTGCAGCTTGGGCTCAGGTGATTTCTGTTAAAAAACTCACATTTCAAAGTGTTGATTGTCAGATGACTATAGTTGCATTCACTTTTGCAACTTTAATCTCCACTCAGCAGTGATTAAACAATCAAATATAGTATTTATAACTTAAAACACGAAATGTTGTCTCCATTCTGCCAAACTTGACAAGCTTTTATTTTCTCCTCAATAAAAGTAACCTCTTTTATGTGCTGTGGGGAGAGTAGTTCAGTGCATTGCAGCAGTGCACCTGCCCTGGTTTCTGCTACTTCACCCTGGGGAGCAGAGACAGGCCTGGAGTCAGTGGCTGTGGATTCAAACCACTGTCTCTCCCTCCCTCCAGACCTTCCACTTGAATTTGCACTGCATGTTCTTTCGATATGAAGATACCAGGCTACAGTACAGTACACGCTAAAACGCACTGATTGGTATTGCATTTCTTTTATTCCTCTCTCTGCTCACTCTGTTTTCCTCCTGTTGATCCATTCTGGATTCTTTGTTTCCCTCATAGTTATTTTGCTCTGCCTTTATCTCTCTAACAAAACCTTTCTATCCTACATCACACACATTGCACACACATGCACACTTATTTATTCAGTCTCCCTTGGTGATACAAAGCTTTTATTATGTCAAATAAAGGAATCTTTCCAGTAAAAAGCCCATTGTGCCAGTGCATATAGATCAACTACAACTTAATGTCGTTTTCTAGTGTAAATCAGATAGGGCCATACAGTAGCCTATCTTGCAAGCTTGAGATTTTGCATAACTCACAGATTTATAATTCTTTCTGAAGGAGCTGAGATGTTTTCCGCTGTGTGTGGCTTGACTGATATCAGTCAAAAGAAATAAACCAGTGTTGGTTAAGGAAATAGGGCTACTGAAAGGTGACAACAGACATGACAATATCACAAAGGATCACTTCTATTTGGGTATAAAAATTGCCTGCCTAGCCTACAACATTTTAGCCTACACACACACACACACACACACACACGATTCTTACTTTAAGATGGAATTCAAGTTTATTACTTTGACATTCGCTGTGCGCAATGTAATTAATTTACATTTACACAAAGCGACTTACAATTGTTAGCCTATCGGCCTAACGTTATGCCAGGAGCAACTAAGTTATGTCACAGTGCACTATCGCCACATGACATATTGTATTCATTTTGCTCTTATTTTAACGCCTTATTGTGTAATTTCGACAGTTTTCATGGGTCACAACGACATATATTCATTACCAGGTGGTCTCTGTTGGAAGTTCAGTTGATTGACGTCTCTCTAGGGGCATCAAGGCAACGCCCGTTGCGTCATGTCTCCTTGGAAACACTAACAAACATGGCGGATTAACTTTTTCACTGTCAGAAGAAGTAATTTTGAGAAGATATATCTTGCCAAGACAAAGAAAACTTAGCTAAGCGAGGTAAGGGCTTAATGTTTGTTGAATGAATGCGATACAGCGTAAATTCAACATTAATTGTGCAACGTTATCTCTTCAGACCTACCGTTAGCTAGCACCGTAAAACGAGTAACGTTAAACGACACACTCAATTTTAACCAGAAATTTGGTTGTTGAATGTTGCTTTACTTTTTGGTTATGTCACACGCCTCAGAAATACAACTTAACATCTTCTGCATTTCACTAAGAATATGAATTAACGCTAACGTTAAATTATGTCTGCATGAAATAAGTGGCTTCCAACGAATCACTGAGCAAAACCACGTTGAATTACGGGATTACTGAGGAGGTTTGTTAGCCTTCAGCCTGTTATAGGGGACATTGTAAAGATATAACCCGCTATAAGCTAAACTAAGTATGATAATATGCGCCTGTGTTATTCATAAATAAGGTGAAATGGATGTCGAAGACAGGGAAAGTCCACTTGATGTGGCGTCAGACAGGTGTGGACTGCTGGGTGTCCAGCTCAGCACTCATGAGGGCAGTGGAGGTGAGTGGCAGCTCCTGTTGTTGCCTTTTTTTGCAAAATGCAATGTGTAGTCTCTACTTGTAGTCACTAAGATACCTTCTTCTCATTAATTCACAATTACACATATACATATGCTGTATCTATTTTACCTTAAGAGACTGGGATATCCTCACTAATGAAGATTTACTGCCTGTTTCAGAGGATGATCCAAACCAGGAGACCTTAAAAGATGAAGAGCCACCCCTTTCTCCTGATTTGGAGTGGTTAGAAGAGTTGTATGAGTGGGTGTTTCATGCTTCTCTGTGAATAGTATTATATTAATGCACTGAAATACAAATGTCTCCTTATTAATCCTTAATCCCGTTACCTCCCTTTCAGTATTTAGAACGTGAAGTTACTGTGACTCGATGTGACTTTCAGTATGATAAGTCAACAGAAAATAATACAGCTACAAGTTTTCCAAAATTGATGAATTATGTTTTTTTAATAAATAAATTAGTACGAACACCGTCAGGTTTAATAATGGTATAATTTTATGTATCTACATAATGCATAGTCAGATTTTGCATTAAACATGCAACCTTTCCTAAATGTCATTTTGCATCTGCCCGAAGAGAGGACAACGGTGATGGTGACCTTGCGGTTGTGGCCGACAGTGGTAAGAGGAGGAGTTATGCCGAGACAGCACGGATGTTCAAGCTGAGACGAAACCTGGACCAGCTGGACTGCTTTCACCGACAGAAGGAGCATGACGTGATAAAAGCCAGGTCTGGACCTGGCAACCAACAGACCTCTAGAGCCACAGTAGCTCCTTTACCTAGATTGAGTGCTTTTCCAGACTAAACCTGTGCATGCAATGGAAGTTTTTTAGTAAGAATACCAAAAAATCACCTGCATCTTTTTGTCACACGTTGTTACATTGCTCAATCTTTTCAGTTTCTAGAAGGATCTTTTTTCATTGTTATTCCACTTTCCCAGGTCTTTCCCCTATTGCCCTCTTCACACTGGGCCAACCATTACTGGACCAATTGATTCAGCAATTTGCAGGAAATCATTTCAGCTGAAGAGAGAACATTTCCCATAATGTCTTTTCTTCCCTCTTTTTATTTGTCTGCAACACGAGCCATTAAGCACCCGATGAACTATGATGCAGTCCCCAGCAAAAATGGCTGTCATTTTCCTTTAGCACAAACCATCAAGGGTCATTGTAGAGCTGTACTGCACTCTGATCAAACACGAGTTCAGTGGAACGTAAGCACACTTGTCTTTTAACCAATCTGTAGTTTTTACATTATTATCACAGTCTTTACTCCTAAATCAAGGCTTTTGGTGTGTGTCCACTCTTAGCTTTTCAATATCTTCATTAGATCACCTTGTTAGCTATCAGAATGACCTTTCTTTTGTTGCAATGGCTACAAGGATATCCATTAGCCTAATGCTCTGAACACATTGCACTTTAACAGCCCTGAAAGTGTTTCTTCTAAATTGGCTTAAATCTGGGATGTGTCTCTGGGTCAACACTTGAACTTGTCTCTGAAATCTCTGTTTCTTTTTTCCAGAGAAGAGCTAAAACTCTGTCGACAGAACATTGAAAGTTTAGTGGGGCAGAGGGACAACTTGGAGAAAGAAATAGAACGACAGAAAGCAGCAGACAACAGGTTGGTTCAAAATGTATTAACAGTGACTGGTCTGTACTTTATATACATATATGCTATGTTTCTGTTTTGTCCCACCCCTGTGTCATTGTTTATTTAATTCTGTAGTGTGGCAGTATTTCGTTTGCGAGTCCAGCATAAGCATCTGTGTCAAAAGC